CATTGAAGTCTTTTATTTAAAATGTGTACAGTGAGAATATCAAACTGTTATAAATTGCCATGTTGTGTGGTCTCTATTGCTTCTATAATATTGATAATATATCTTGCTCTCATATCTAGAATCGTCATGAACGGATCTTGAAAAGACGAGCTGCCATGGAACGTATACATAGATTAAGATTACAAATACGTGAGACAGAATATGAAAGATCAAATACATCATCTGACAATGAAACTCATTCAAGTGTACACAAAGAGGAGATTCTAGATTTAGAAGAAATTGATTTTGATATGCAAGAACATGAACAATGCTAAACAAAAGCAAATGGAAGATAACAGTCAATCTGAAGTTATTTCAGATGACAATAATGTTGATCGATTATCACAAAGTATACAGGCTTCTACGGAGGATATCAATGATAATGAATCAGATGAGTTAAATGAAGACGTCTACTTACGTATGGCTCTGACAGAATGGGCTTCTCGTGGTGTCTCAAAAAGAAAAGTAAACAGTTTGTTAAGTATTTTGCGCAAGGTACATCCAGAACTTCCTAATACATATGTAACCTTATTGGATACACCTAAGACCACGGCAGTATATGAGATTGATAGTGGGCATGTCTGGTATAAGGGAGTAAAAAGAAATTTGAATATCTTTTTGACTGAAGAATATTTACACACTCATGGACGAATACAATTGGATATCAACATAGATGGGATACCTTTGGATAGTTGCTCAAAATTGCATTTTTGGCCCATTCTAGGATCTTTGGCTAATAAGACTTGTGAGCCTTTCATTATTAGTGTTTATTTTGGCATAGAGTCGAAGCCGTCAACACTAGAACAGTTTTTAGAGAAATTTGTTGAAGAGATGGAGCAACTTTTCACAAATGGTTTCACATTTAATGGACATGTCTATGATGTATCTATACGTAACTTTATTTGTGATGCTCCAGCGAGATCATTCCTGAAGTGTACTATTGGACATATTGGATTATTCTCTTGTGAAAAATGTGAAGTTCAAGGTGAATGGTATCATAACAGGATGGTTTTTTTTAACACTGGACAGAAACGTACAGACCAATCATTTATTGACCGAAGAAATCCTGAGCACCACCAAGGATTATCACCATTACAAGAACGACTCAACGACTCAACATTGGAATGGTATCTCAATTCAGGCTTGATTATCTTCATCTTGTGTGCATTGGTGTAATGAAGAGATTTTTGATGCGATTATTGGAAGTAAGAAATCGAGGCAAATTAATAGATAAAAATGTACAAGCTTTTAAAGATGGTTCAGCATGGATTAGACAATTTATCCCCAGAGAATTCAATCGAAAACCTTATCGATTTAAGAAAGTTGCTCATCTTAAGGCTACAGAACTCAGAAGATTCTTACTGTATGATGGAGTTAAAATAATGAAGGATCATACTCCTAAGAGAATATATAACACTTTTTTGCTATTACACTGTAGCATTTATATCTTAATTTCTCCTTTATTTGTGCAGAATATTGCAATGAAAAATGCTGCTAGAACTTTTTTGAACTTATTCATACAATGTAGTAGTCGGATCTTTAGTCGTGACTTTGTTGTATTTAATGTACATGGGCTTACTCACCTAGTTGATGAATGCGATGAATATGGATACTTGGACTCATTTAGTACTTTTCCATATGAAAACTATTTAAAGACAATCAAGCAGTCATTACGATCAGGATATCAGCCTTTGCAACAGTTAGCAAGAAGGGATGCTGAGACCAATGGGCGCTTGTCAGAGCCGAAGAATATTATTGAAGGCGTACAGCTGACAGGAAATCATTTTGATCCCAATGAAACTATTCAAGGGGAACAATATAAAATGCTTACGACTTATAAGTTTACATTGAGATGTATTGTTCCTGATAATTGCTTTAAAACAGAAAACGGATCTGTGATATTGTTGAAAAATATTGTATATTCTAAAAACAATGTAGTAATCCTACGTGGACAACGATTTCGGATACAGAATAATTATTATCAATACCCAATGGATTCATCCTTGATTGGCATTGTTCTTGTTTCACAACTAGATGAAATAATTACATCATGGGACATGAACGATGCAATTACGAAATGTGTACTTATTCCTGACAAGAATGAATCATATCTATGTATTCCTCTTGCGCATAATCTTTCTGCTACATGACTGTTGATAACGGTAAGATCTGTTGTTATCTGTTCATAGACTCGTATTAATTGTGATATAATTATTGTTGGTTTTGATTACTGTGTCACACAGTATTCAGTTTTGTTTATTCTTTATGGTAGTTTAAACTTCCAATTTTTTACTTGGTTAAGGTTTTTCTAAGATTAATTTTTATGAAGATGCAACATTCTTTGTTGTTGTAATTTGTTGTTATGGATGAGAATATATATAACTTTGCTTTCTTAAAAATTAATTTATTGAAATAGAGAGAATCTTAATTATAATATAACAGGCACAGATTTAAGGATATTACTGCAACTCAAATCTTTCTTTCAAATATGTGGTACTGAGTAAAAGTTGTTTTTATACTTACCCATTTCTGTGTAACATATTATGCTTCCTCATAGAGAAAACTTTGTATTCATGACAACTTGTTTTCTTCTGTAATAAGTTCTGAACGATTCAAAATTCTCGAAAAACACTTCCCACATAGAAATTGGCATCCAGTGGATGTCTATTAAACATCCATAGCTCCATGGAACGTCTATCTCCATGGTGGAAGCCAGATGGATGTCAATTAGAGCTCCATTAAATCTCCATAGTTCCTTGGAGTGTCTCCTTCCACGGTGGAAGTCAAATAGATGT